ATTAAATGTTATAAAATAAAATCTCAAATCTGTGAATTCAAGGAAAAATGGGTAAGGTTTTCGAGAGTTTTTGAACTTAATCTGTAGTAATTAGCGAGGTTCCCCTGTAGTTCAGAAGGTAAGAACGCACGCGCCGCTATATACTTTATGTCGTCGTCATGGGCACTAAGACCCCAAAAACATTGGACTATCACCAATGTGCCCCACCTATTTCCTTCTGCTTTAAACAAAAAAAAAGAATCATAAACCTAGACGATGAAAAAAGCGCATACTAAAATTAAAACTGTTGATAATACAAACATACATACATACTAGAGGCCTCAGGGCCAGTCTACAGGGGAGGGAAGGGAGGTAGGAATTCGAAGGGAGAGTCTGTCCGCTGTCCGCTGTCCGCTGTCCGTCGCTTTGCGTGTGCGTTGCCTTCGACTCTGGCTCCATATATAATTACGTAGAACCCTAAGGTGACATGTGGGGAGCGGGAAATGGGCTTATGTCATAACACACACACACACACACCTTGGGAGGGAGTGATAGCAGAGCGGGGACATCTAATCTGTTTGCATTATTCTGATACGACATTTTACCTCTCTCTCTCGCTCTCTCTCTCTCTCTCTCTCTCTTTCCACCGCAATTCGCACTATTCACTAAATGCCATCATTTTCAACGTTTAACGTTAAGTGATGGGGCACTGCCCATATTGAACTTTATTATTCACACGGTATGTAATTCCTATAATTTGTAATTTCTAAAGAATTTGATTATGGGAAATTATGTTCCATTAGTTTTCATTTTAAATTGTTATTTAAATTTATGGGAAATGATGTTCAAGCAGCTAGAATTAATCTTTAAGTAACTTTAGTAGTTATAGGGTTTATTTATAGAATACTTTTCATAAGAATTAAATTGAATTAAAGCAAGTGCTTTTTTAAGATTAAAAATCTCTATGAGACTTGGTTTTTCAATGGCTTTTCTTGAGTAATATATATAATACCTTAGTTTTCCTGCCTGGAATATAGTCTTCTACTTGATTTCTGAGAATAAAAATGCTTCTAGTTACTACTATTATATTACCTCTAATCATTTTACACTTTCTTAGGTAAGAATGAAATCTTTAAAAGTAGCATTCTTTTATAGGAACAAAATCTTTATAACTTGGCTTGCCAGTTGCTTTTTTTTAACACTTTATTATTAACACTTTTACATATTCCGCTTAAATCCGGTTTCTGGTTTATATAGAAACAGTTATGGGTTTCTTTCACCACCAAATGTTTTTTTTAAAGGGTTGAACATTACAAAAGACCTAGAAAAAACAGACCTTGTTTTTACAGGTCTCACAGTTACGAAGAGTTTAACTTTGTTTTCAAATTTAAATTGAATTAACTGACTGAAAAACATTATATAGAGTGTACAAGAGGTTTTGTACTTAAAGTTGGTTAAGTGCAGGAGGTTTTGTACTCATATTTGTAGATCTATCTAATATGTTTTAGATAATAACTTCTTAACTTTGAAAGGTGATAGTTTTTCTTAGCTTTACAACTTGTTTAATATATTTTGAAATTTTATCTAAAGAGAGTTTTCAATATTCTTTTAAAATGAAGAATGAATATTTAGCTTGTCACTTTTTAGGGTTTTTCAGTTTCCATCTGTTCTTGGCATCATCATCATCATCGAAAAAGGGTTGACCAACGCTTTCGCGTTCCCATTCCCATTTCCCACTCCATAGAATTTCCCATTTGGCCAGTTTCCTTCTTGTGGTGGCTCGTCACCTCTTTTTCCTCTCTTGTGTGTGTGTTTGCCGGTGGTGTTTGGTGGAAAACCTCCTTCTGGTTCTTGCCACCTCTCATCATTCATGGCCAGCAGTTCCGATGGATGGTTGGATGGATGGATGGATGGTTGAAGTTGGTAGTGAGAGATGGTGGTGACTTTATAAATATGCCACAAAAATTCTCATTCTGTATCGTGTGTGTGCAACATTTGTGTTGTCTTCTTCCTGATTCTGTTTTTGCTTCAACTTCTACTTCTACTTCTTCATCTTCTACTTCTTCTAGCTGGTGGTGGCTTCCACACACTTTCTGCGGGCGTTGGTGGTTGGGTTTTTCTTCTTTCTTTTTGGGATTTTCAAGAGTGGAGAGTTGAGAATTATTGGTGGTGTGAATAAGCTTTTTGCCGGAAAGCCTTTTTCTGTAGTTTTTTTTTGGGTGGTAGGTTTTTGTTGTTATCAGACGGTTAATTCTTTTACTTCTGTTGTTGTTGTTGTTGTGGTGGTGGGTGGCAACTATGGCTTCTTCTTCATATTCTTTTTCCTGTTCTGCTTTTTGTTTTTGCTATACTTTATTTTTAGGGTTATAAGTTAACATATGACATTCAGACAAAGAAAAGGAAGGAAAAGGAGGAGAAGAAGGAAGAAGACGACCAAGAGGAGAGTCCATTTTCCGAATGTCCGATAAGCCTGCCAAAGAAGAGGAAGACGAAGAAGAAGCAGAGACAAGAGGCAGAGGCAGAGGCAGAGTAAAAAAATATGTAGCAGAGGCAGCAGCAGCAGCAGCAGCAATTTGATTGCAGAACAAAGAGACGCGCACACAAAAATCTCCGCTACAAAACACACACACACACAAGCGACACACATGCGCCGGCCAGTTTGCCGGCAGTGCTGCCCACGTTGACGGCGACGCCGGCCGAGGAAGATGAAAAAGAACTTCAAGTGGAAGCAACAAAAACACACGCGCGAGCGAGCGAGAGAGAGAGACCGTGACGCCATTGCCCATTTGCTTTTGTTGCTTGCTGTAAAGTGGCATAAAACAGATGCAACAACATCTCCGCAGCAGCAGCGGCGGCTGCGAGTCAAATTCTTATCAGTCAAGTTTTCGTCTTTTTTTTTTTAGTAAAACAAAAGCCAGACAAAGGATGGGAGCAAGAGGAAGCAGGGGGGAAAGGAGAGCAAGTAAGGGCACTCGCTTTTCTCAATTAGAAATCTATTTGCAGAAGCAAATACATACATATATACACACGCACAGTAAACAGAATGGGGGGGGGGTAGGCGGAAAAGGGATGGCAAGAGAAGCCCGCATTATTGTTACGAAGCCTCTGTAATGCACACACACACACAAAAAAACGCATGCAAGCCAAAGGAATGCCTTGCCCTTTAAAAATTCAATTTTAATAACTAATTTGTTGAATATTAGTTAATAATAAACTAAAAAATTCAATTCAATTAAAAACCTACTTTTGACATTTTAATCTAGGAAATGTTAACTACAAAAACAACAATGCTTTTTCCGGGTTTTACAAGTTGTTATTCTTAACAGCAATCCCCCTTAACAGAGGCGCTAACATTAACAGTTGCAAGTGGCATTTAACAGGGCAATGCAACTAGTTGGAACTGTGACCCTCTCCCTCTCTCCCTCTCCCTCTCTCTTTCTCGGTCTCAAATAGTGCATTTTGCTGCAACTGTTTTTGTTTGTTTTTTTTTTTTTTGCCGGTTTTGTGTTATGCGCACACTTTTTCTCACTTTTGTTACGTTTTCGTATGATTTTTTTTTTGCGTATTGTTTATTTTGCTTTGTTTTGTATAAATAACAAATTGATTATGAAATCACTGGCAGCCTTAGTGAGTGTATGTGTGTGTAGATCACTTCCCCAACAACTAAACTACTTTGTGCGCTTAACCCTTCAGACATGCCATTTTTTTTTTTGGAGGTTATATCAATAATAATCATAATAATAACGAGAATAGCAAACGAAGTGACTTGAGTGAACAAAGGGGTCGGATAAGGGGGTGAGGTGAACAGTGTGGGGGGGGAGAAAAAAAAAACATAAATAATAATCAAAAGCATTTAACTAAACAAAGGTCTAAGCAAGAGACAGAGATACAAATAGAGAGAGAGAGGGGGAGAGAGAGAGCCCACATAAAACCGTTAAATACTTTGTAGATTGTGTGGGGAATTTCGAAAATCACCAACTAAAGCAAACACAACAACAAATGAAAAGGCCACTACTTGCTAATATTATTGTCCCAATCAGCCAGTGAGGATATTACCTCATTTGGCATAATCATAGGAATTTCTTGCCAATTTGCAAGTGACACACATGCGTCAAAACGCAAGCAAAAGAGCAGGGATTGCGTCACTTTGAAAATTCACCAATATTTGATCTCATGGTGAATTAATCTGGGACATTGGACCAAGGAAAGTGTTATATTACATATATATTATTTAATTATATTAATATTATATATACTAAATAATTTTCAATTTGAATATCTTTCATTTTTTGCTTTGTTTTAAGAAAAGTTTAATTAAATTAAAAGTTGAATGCCAATTAGTGATTATCCAATAAGTTTAAAGACAAGGTTTGAAACGGTAAATTATAATCTTGGCATTTCTTAACCCTTTTGCAAGGCTTTTTTTATGAATAAATACAAATAAGATATGAATGAATTGCAAAATTTATATAATTTTGTAATCCCACTACTTATAACAAGTTGATTTTGAACGAAAATAGTCAGGGAATTAAGAAAAATATTTTGAGTTTTAAACAAATGCAGTTTGCAATCGAAATTTAGTATCAAATCTGAATTGGACTTATAAAAAAAAGCTTTAAATATATGCATTATTTATCAATATTTTTATATGACAATTTAATCGGCAAATTAAACAATAATAAACATATCTAAGCTAAAAAAAGCATTAATTTAAACTCGTAAAGCTTTCCTCTAATAGTTTTTATTAGATTTATAAAACCGCTTACTGAAACCAATTAAACTGATTTATTTTGCATTAAATTTTTACTTAAACAATAAAATTAGTTTTTCAGATTTTTTAAGACCCCATTCGAAGAGTTTTTTTTATAACTTAAATGTTGCATTTCTCAAGAGCTTAGTTTAACTTGTATTAATTTTAACCCCAAACAACAACCAGAAAGTTTATCTTTCCCGAGAAAATTACTAAAGGAAACCCTCTTCCCAGGGGGGACCTGAAAATCTTTGCAATTTTCCCTACTCACTTTTCACGATGCAGCAGACAGATGCGATCCTTGGCCACCTTCAGCTTCTTGGCGATGATCTTTTTCAGGCTCTCGACGGTAATGTGCGGCTCCACGCTGACGCCAAAGTTGCCGCCGGTGGTGGTGCTGATGTTCAGGTTGATGGTCATCGGGGCGGCAGCACTTGTTGTTGCTGCTGCTGCTGTTGTTGTTGCATTCGCCGTTGTTGAGGTTGCCAAGCGCTGCAAGGCGCTGTTATTGCTACATCCGCCTCTGCTGCCGCCGCTGGTGGTGGTGTGGCTGCTGCCGCCGGCGCTGCTGGCGTTGCTGCTGCTGCCACACCCAGCTGCGCTGCCGGCAGAGGATGCTGATGCTGCTGCTGCTGCCGCTGCCGACGCTTCGTTTTGGCCATCGGCAGTGGCCGAGTTCGTGGCCGCTGATTTATCCATGTCCGGTGTTTCTTTCTTTCTATATATATATATATATTTTTTTTTTTTTGTTGGTTTTCGTTTCTTTTTTATGTTGCTGTTTTGTTGTTTGTGTTTTGCGCAGGAGATGAGGGCCCAGCTCCCTTGCTCTCGCTCTCGCACTCACTGGAGGGGCTCACAGGAAAAAAATACAAGAAAATTACGGCCGATGGCGCTGGCGTAACGGCACACACGCGGCGACTGCGACTGCGGCGGCTGCTGGTTCAATTTCCAATCGATTTTCTATACACACCACACCTTGCAGACTTACACACACAAACACACACAATACACAACACACGCATACGCGACCACGACGACGACGACGACGTAACCGACGTAACGTAAGGCAACGCAACGTACACACACACGTGGAAGAGGTTTTTGAAGAGGTGAGTAGTGGCGAGCGGGGCGGCCTATGGATTACGTGAGAGCACAGCGGGGCACGGTGGAACGGAGGGCGCGCTTACGTCGCGCGACTGAATCGAAATCTCGGTTTTTTTTTTTTCTTGTTACGAGGTACGCACGCAGGTATGCGAGAGCAGGGCCGTTTCGAATCCCGCTTGGCAAATGGTGCTATTTGAAGGCAATTCCTGCGCCGTGTTTTCTGCCTCGAAAAAAAAAAATAGTTGGTCTTTTTTATATTTGCTCCTCCTCTTGCGACAGAACGACTTCGCTCGGGCTGCTGCGACTTGCTGTTGCTCTCCACGCTTCTCCTTTGGTTTTTCAGTTTCGCTGCCCGACGACACACACACACACACGCGGCCGTCTTCGAAAAATTGTGTTTTTGAAGTGTGGCTGTGAGGCTTTCCGTTTAGGAAACCGAAGCCTCGGCGCAGGGAAAGAGGGATTCTGCCGTCCGACGTAGCTGGTCACACCGACGGTATCAACAGTTTGCCCCTGTTAGACTTAAATTTTACACGGGTACAGAGTCACTCTACACGTTTACAGATACATGCGGTCGAATTATCGTTTTTTGGGGTCGAATTCTCACGTAGAAAGTAAAATGCATTAACAGACTAGCTCTCATCCAGCGTAAGTTGGCAGAATTCTCTCTCGTTGGCTGTCAGGTGGATGTAAATTAACAGAATTCTCTCTCGTTGGCTGCCGGTTGTTGGTGGTTTTTGAAAATATATCAAGATAACGATTTTTTTTATGTTTTTGAATGTCCACAATATTAGCGTCGATGAGTTAGCGTCCAAATAGAACGGTGGGAATATGGAACATGGAGGGGATCCTTTTTACTGGGTTTGAAAGTATTTGTCATTTGGATATATTATTAAAACCCGATACATCAAAAAAATAACATTTATTGTAGTTTTACCCCACCAAGATTAAATTTCTGCAAGCCGTCAGTTTTTTAAAAAATCGCATAATAGTAATCTAACCTTGGGGTCGGCTCCATACAAGATAAGTTAAGTTCGATTTACGAATGCATGCACATATGCACGGTATATAGGCTTACTAGGAGAAGATTAACGAATATTTAGTGAAAATTTCAATAGTTTTTAAACATCTGATTTCGAGAAAATCGAATAACAGTGGGTGGTGTATTTTGACTGATATCTGAGGCGCGAACTATAAAAATGGAACCAGATTGGAACTAGCAGAGAACCACTCGCTGCTCAAGACCATGGAACCATGAACCATGGAACCATTGATGAATAGCCCGCCAGAAAATATTCCTATTGACCATTTAAACAATTGTATTAAATATGCATTCCCCATGACTGGAATTGAAATTCCAAGCATTTTGGTAGTTGTTTCATCAAAATCCGTTCAGCCGTTCAAGAGAAAACATCACTTTTTCATTTATTTCCATAAATGTTCCTTTGAAGACTAAATAGATCTGGCAGCACTGCCTGCCTTAAATTAAGTCGATTTGATTTAAGCTTTATTGTAAAACTTATGCAAAATGAAGTTCGTACAATTAACGGCATCGCAGTTCTGAACATTTTGATATATGTTTCATCAAAATCCGTTCAGTCGTTAATGAGAAATCCCGACTTTTTCATTTATTGCCGAAATGTACATATGTATGTGTGTATGTTCGACGAAGAATATTAAATAAAAGAATGTGATTTAATATTAATGGTAGGACGTATGTATGTATGCAAATGGAATAAACGGCACTATAGTTCTGAACATTTTAATCCATTATACCCCAGTAAGAGTATATAGAAGACTCACTGCAACATTTTATTTAGATAACTTTAAATATAAGGGTTTAGTTTGCTAATAATTGAACAAACAGACAGACGGACATGGTCAGATAGACTCGGCTGTTGATGCTGATCAAGAATATATATACTTTATAGGGTCGAAAATAATTTATTCACTGCGCTGCAAATTTTTCACCTGAAATCATATTACAAAGCAAGGGCATTGAAGCACTAGATTTGAGAAACAAATTTTCGAAATAACATTTAATAGTCTGCTCAATAAATGATATAATTTTTCTAAGCAATTTGGTAGGTGTTTCATCGAAATCCGTTCAGTCGTTTTGGAGAAATTAACATTTGAATTAGTAATTTATTTACAAAGGAGGCATGACTATGCAGCCCTGGTACCCAACTGCAATAAATGAAAAGTCGGGATTTCTCATTAACGACTGAACGGATTTTGATGAAACATATATCAAAATGTTCAGAAATGCCATGCCATCTATGGGAAAGTCTTCCTTTTGCATAGATTTAACCATAAAGTTTAAATCAAGTTTTCTCGTTTTTAGCCAGGCAGGGCTGCCGGATATATTTATCTTTCACAGGTACATAAATGGAAATAAATGAAAAAGTCGGGATTTCTCATTAACGACTGAACGGATTTTGATGAAACATATATCAAAATGTTCAGAACTGCGATGCCGTTAATTGTACGAACTTCATTTTGCATAAGTTTTATAATAAAGCTTAAATCAAATTGACTTAATTTAAGGCAGACAGTGCTGCCAGATTATTTATTCTTCGAAGGAACATTTATGGAAATAAATGAAAAGGTGATGTTTTCTCTTGAACGGCTGAACGGATTTTGATGAAACATCTACCAAAATGCTTGGAATTTCAATTCCATTCATGGGGCATGCATATTTTATACAATTGTTAAAATGGTCAATAGGAATATTTTCTGGCATGCTAATTATCGATTGGGTGTGGGTGGCGCCCCTATTGATATGAAGCCAGTGTTTGTGAATGAGATCGGAAAAAGAAAACGCTAATTTCTAAAAATCCGTGGGTTCGATTTAATAGAGATTTAATTCGAAATTATAGAATATTTTTCCCTATCGTTTGAGATACCGTGCAAGCTTGCACGCGTTCATTTGAGAGTGTAAGATTTTTGTAAGAGTTTGCGTCGATTTTGCTTGCGGAGAAGGGGCATAACATTTCGCCGTGGTATATACTAAAATAATCTAAAAAGAACGAAATAGTTAATTTTCCCTGATTTAGATGAAAATCCCACCAAATTGATTTGAATGGCTTTTCCATTTATTGGGTAGTCACTTTTCTTAATGTTTTATTCAACAATTTCCTATTGTTATTTCATTTAGTATATATCTTAACATGGTTCCGTGGTCTGGTTCAGCGAGTGGTTCTCTGCTGGTTCCCATCTGGTTCCATTTTCATAGTTCGCGCCTTAGCTATCAGCACAAATACACATCCCACTGTTATTCGATTTTCTCGAAATCTGACGGTTAAAAGCAATTGAAATTTTCACTAAATATTCGTTAATCTTCCCATTGTAAGCCTATATATCGTGCATATGAGCAGGCGTTCGGAAATCGAAGTTATAAGCCTTACAATTTTGGATGCCCTATTTTGTATTGAGCCGAGATTAGATCATATTATGCGATTTGTTTAAAAATTGACGGTTTGAAAAAATTTGAACTTGGTAGGGTAAAACTACAATAATATCCTTTTTTGACGTATCGGGTATTGCTGCACACGTTTGATTAGACAAGATATTAAGAAATCCGTTCACATGCTTTTTTTTAATATATCCAAATGTCAAATACTTTCAAACCCAGTAAAAAGTAATAGTAATAATAGTATTTTATTCGAATTAGCGTCTTTATTACGAAATAAATTAAAAATTAAAGATAGGAATAATTATAACATAATAGGATAAAATTCATTTATTCATTCATTCATAAAATTCATCATAAAAATTAATAAACAATATTTCCTAGTTTAACATAACGATCGGTAAAAAGTATCCTAATTTGCTTATTACATTAATATCCTCATTACCGACCTTTTCCAGAATAATAATTTTACACGTTTACATTGGAAAGAATTTTTATGAAGGAAATAATATTTATAAATTCGTTCATTAATTTAATTTAGTTTTGTACTTCTTAATTTTAAAACAACGATAAATGATTTTTTTGTTTTAAACTTTATTGATAATAATAATCTATGATTTTTTGTATTCTTGAATATTAAGATAACTTATAAAAACAATATAAATTCTATTTTCTTTTTTTTTTTTTTCTTTTTTTTTCTTACAAAGCTTAATAACTATAATTATAAATGACTAGTTGGGCTTCAATTCATTTTTATACTCTTGTAGGTTAATTAATTAGTAAAATAGTCAGGCACAATGTAAAATGTAAAATGTTAAATAACAGCAAGTATCGCAACATCGATATTTGGGTAAACAAAATATCACGTTATAAATATCGATATATCAACAGCCCTAGCACTGCTGGCAAATTTGCTTTTTTCCCGTCAAATCTAGCTTTTTCAGAATGCCATATGAGAGAAAAATTTACAAATAGCATGCTTAGGGAATTCTGTTATTTTATTTTATTTAAATGCTTATTTTTTTTTTCATTTTATTTCTGTAAACTCGTTACATTGGTTGCGTTTATTAAAAATGATTAACGAATGCTGGTTCATCAACGCAACCATTGCTTTGAGAATACTTTCCCTAAGAATTCTTTAAAAAATACTTTGAAGGATACCTGATTTTGGTAACATTAAAACTAATTTTAAAAAACGAGAAACAAAGGAGAAAAATGAGTAAATATAGCGTTCCCAACAAGTTTTTCGGAATGATTGGAACAGAATTACCCTATAAAAATCAATACCAAACATCACAAATCGATGAGATTATTAATATAAATTTTAATTGATAATATAATAATAAAAAATTTATTTATTTTTTTTTTTTTAAATATAAGCTAACAAATAATTGTTTTTAAAAATAGATTTAGCTTTTTCCAAAATTGTTAATCTTTTTTTTAATTGATCTTCCGGCCAAAAACAGCTTTTTTATTCAAGAAAAAGTTGGCAACACTGGCACGAAGGTCTATATAAAGCTGCACGCGGCGGCCACCGCATTAGAAAAAGCTACGACTTCCATTTTCCTACGGCTGGACGGGTGAGTGGGGGAAACCATGTGCTCGGCGGCGCGATTGGAAACTGGGAAATGGGGTCCAGAATCCCAATCAGCCATCGGCCGTAAATCTGCGGCAATTAACCTTGCCACCCAATTGTCTTGCTCCGCCATTTACATCTGCATTCTCCCTTCGTTTCCTTTTTTTCGTTCTCGTTCTGTTACGTGGTCTCTGTGTATCCCGTCTAATTGCGCATCGAGCAGCTCTCGAGAGGATTAGGAATCGGAGGCCATTGGAATCCAATACAGCAGCAGACAGACAGCAAGAGGAGCCCAATTCGGTGGCGTTTATCTCGCTCGCTCGCATCCGCCAGTCTTTGTTTTGTTTTCCTTTTTTCTTTTGTTGCTGTTGTTGGGTTGAACGGACGCTAGAATGGAGG